CTGAGGCCCTGGGTTCGATTCCTCAGTACCACATAAGCAAAAAGAAAAAAAGCCAGAAATGGCACGGTGGCTCAAGTGGTAGAGCGCTAGCCTTGAGCTAAAATGCTGAGGGACAGCGCCCAGGCCCAGAGTTCAGGCCCCACGACCAGACCCCCCAGCCAACAACAACAACAAAAAAACACTAGGTTCATAGCCCACTGTGTTCTGCAGGAAAGTGACTGCCTGCAGACTGTGCTCAGCAGACTGACCACATGTGCCAAACAGATCCTGCTGGTCCCCTCTGCTGCCCAGCGCCAGGCCTTCCTCCTGCAGTTGCGCTTACAGTTCCTGGAGAAACGGTCTTCATGAGCAAGAGCTGCTGTACTGTAGAAAATCCTCTAAATCACTGTTAAACAATCACATTCCAGAAAGTCCACACTATTTTATTTATTTATTTATTTTTTGTCGGTCGTGGGGCTTGAACTCTGGGCCTGGGCGCTGTCCCTCAGCTCTTCAGCTCAAGGCTAGCGCTCTACCACTGGAGCTACAGCGCCACTTCCGGTTTTCTGGTGGTTTATTGGAGATAGGAGTCTCACCGTCTTTCCTGCCCGGGCTGGCTTTGAACTGCGATCCTCAGATCTCAGCCTCCTGAGTAGCTAGGATTACAGGCATGAGCCACCAGCGCCCGGCTGCACTTTATTTTATTTTTATTTTTAAAATTTTTATTGTTTGTTGTCAGTCATGGGGCCTGAAGCCACAGTGCCACTTCTGGCTTTTTCTGCTTATATAGTGCTGAGGAATCGAACCCAGGGCCTCATGCATGCAAGGCAAGGGCTCTACCACTGAGCCACCTTCCCAGCCCCTTTATTTTATTTTATTTATTTATTTTTTTGTCAGTCGTGGGGCTTGAACTCTGGGCCTGGGTGATGTCCCTCAGCTCTTCAGCTCAAGGCTTGTGTTCTACCACTTGAGCCACAGCGCCACTTCCGACTTTTTCTGTGTATGTGGTGCTGAGGAATTGAACTCAGGGCCTCGTGCATACAAGGCAAGCACTCTACCACTAAGCCACCTTCCCAGCCCAAGTCCACACTTTAGTGACCTGATTTGGTCTATTACTTCTTCGCTGTCATTCTCTGAATCCCTCTCATGAAGAACTCAGCTGTTTGGAGAACAGCTAAGTTAGCAGGTTAGGTAATTTGTGTGTTCTTGCTTGTTTGGCCTCCTAGAGCAACCTCCATACCTGGAAGTCCCAGAGCCACCATGTGCTTGCCCTCCTTGCCCTGTCTGTTGTCCTTGACCACTTCTAAAGGGCAGGACACGATTACCAGCCTTGCAGGGACAGGGTTTGGGAGGCTTAGGACACCGGCTTCAGGCTGTCACCTGCAAACATGGCCCTCAGCCCACCATACCCTTTAGACAGTGATTTGAAGCATTCCCTTTACTGTCTTGAAAAAAAGACAAAACTCAATATATGTTCTACCTACATACCAGCAGTACTTGTTTATAACATAAAGGAGAAAGAAAGGGCTGTGATTTGTGATGAACTCATTTTATTATGTAAGTGTTGGAGTTCAGCTCTCTGAGAGGCTGAGAAAGTGACAGGTGAAGCGTGTCTGGTGCCAGTGTTACGTGGGTGGTGGGATTTTTTTTCCCCTCCAGAACGATGAATAACTCTTGGCAGACTCCTGAGCACACTAGATACAGCCTCTTGTGATTATGTGGCAGGGCATTCCTGGGAAACAGTGTTGTGATCGGACATCTGTGTGTGGTTGGGTCCTGGCCGGTCACGGTGTAAAGTATCTGAGCGGCCTAAAACCTGACAGCCTTCCCACAGTTGCAAGATTCAGGAAAGTTCTTGTGGTACAGGAAATCGTATCCATGGTGGCCCAGCTGGTGTCACTGGCCCACACCTCCTGACAGGTTCTTTTTCTTTTTGTCAGTCGTGGGCCCTAAACTCAGCCTGAGTGCTGTTCCTCAGCTCTTCAGCTCAAGGCAAGTGCTCTACCACTTGAGCTACAGCGCCACTTCCAGTTTTCTGGTGGTTTATTGGAGATAGGAGTCTCACGGTCTTTCCTGCCCAGGCTGGATTTGAACCATGATCCCCAGATCTCAGCCTCCTGATTAGATAGGATGACAGGCGTGAGCCACCAGCGCCCGGCTTCCTGACAGGTTCTAAACAGCTGTGGGTGAATGGTGCCTGGCTAGCTGTGTGGGAGACGCTGCTCCTGTGGTGCTGTACACTTTAAAAATACTTTTAAATACTTGGGTTAAGTGAATTGCCATTCCTTAAAGAGACCCCTGTTAACATAAAGATACTTGAAGCCGGGCGCTGGTGGCTCAGGAGGCTGAGATCTGAGGATCACGGTTCAAAGCCAGCCCGGGCAGGAAAGACTATGAGACTCCTATCTCCAATAAAAACCACCAGAAAACCGGAAGTGGCGCTGTAGCTCAAGTGGTAGAGCGCTCACCTTGAGCTGAAGAGCTGAAGGACAGCGCCCAGGCCCAGAGTTCAAGCCCCATGACCGACAAAAAAAAAAAAAAAACCCATAAAGATACTTGAAAATACACATTAATCTATAAGGTCAGAGATAGATGATGAAGGAAGCAGATTTTTTTTTTTTTTTTTTGCCATGGCTGAGTGAGGCCACAGGGAGCTCTCTGAATTTGGCAGTAGAAAGACAGACTGTACTCAGAGCAGGTACTCAGAAGGCTACATGAGCCAAGCAAAGGACACACACAGGAGGCGTATTCTCTAGGAGAATGGAGCCATGGATGCCAGACACCACTGGGCACGGTGGAAAGTGGAAGCAAGGAGCTCACAATGGCCAAGCTAGGTCCTTCCTAAATGAGGGTGTCCTGGTGTCCAAGGCATAACCATCAGCCCCAAAGAAGAGGCCTTCAGACACACTGCTGCATGCAGACACATTGCTGCATAGCAGCCCCCACCTGTCAGGACAGCGCCGCAGCTTCCCGTGGCTGCTTCAGGTCCCCAGCGGGTAGGTAAGACCGCAGTGGGCAGACAAGACCCTCGGGACAGCTCTAGGCATCCAACTAATGGCATTACTGCAGATGCCCAGTCCAAGAACAAGGACACCCAGGCCCACAAAGCCTCTAGAAGTTAGAAATGAGTAAAAATACTTTAAAATACAGTAGATGGACTAAAGAAATGAAGTTGGGAACATTGGTTATAAAATAGAACCAAAAGACAAGACATATGGGGGAAGATTAGAAACCCGATGCTTGCCTCAGAGGTCACTCTAGCCAGTCTGTCAGGATGAGGGACAGGAGGCAGGCTTGGGGAGGGGGGAGCAGGAGAACACAAGGGTGCCATGTTCAGATAGAAGGGCATCTGAGCAAGGCTCTGAGGAGATGGGTCCAGCGACCGCAGGCGCAGAGCGCTGGGTAACCATGCCCTGTGAGCCCTTGGAGGAAGAGGAGGAGATCCTCTCTGAAGGAGGATCAGAGATCAGACTACACTGCTCCTGGGGCTGGGCAGGGCTTAGGGATGTGTGTGTGTGTGTGTGTGTGTGTGTTTATGTGTGTGAGTTGTATGTGCTAGTTCTGTGTCTTGAACCCAGGGCCTAGACACTGACCCTGAGTAGCTATGATTACAGCAGGCATGAGCCATGGTTTTTTGTTTGTTTTCTGCTGGACCTGGGCTCTGTCCTTGAGCCTCTCTGTGCTCAAAGCTAGCCCTCTACCACTTGAGGCATAGCTCCAGCTTTTTCTGTGTATGTGGTACTGAGGAATCAAACCCAGGGCTTCATGCATGCTAGGCAAGCACTCTACCACTGAGCCACCTTCCCAGCCCATCTCATGGATTTTTGAACAAGAAATTGTTGCTTGTATGGTAGACAAAATCAGTAACTCTAGTTAATGGCTTTGTTTGTCCTGAGTTGAGCAAGTGTTCTTATCTCCCTGCCTGAGTATCCCTGACTCCGATCGCACAATGACTGTGCTCGTATTTCTTGTTAGGTGTATTATGTTTGGGTCTGCAAAGAGGCAGCACTCTACTGGTGTCAGATGAGCAAGAAGGCCATTAGGAAATTTCTTTTCTTTTCTTTTTTTTTTTTTGGTCAGTCATGGGACCTGAACTCTGGGCCTGGGCGCTATCCCTCAGCTCTTCAGCTCAAGGCTAGCACTCTACTACATGAGCCATAGCACCATTTCTGGCATTTTCTGCTTATGTGGTGCTGAGGAATCTGGAACTGAGGGTTCCAGACTCAGCAGGTGGGCGGCTCGGTAGGTCCTTGGCACTTATCACAGCGGGAGTGTGTGTGTGTGTGTGTGTGTGTGTGTGTGTGATGCCAGTAATGGGTTTGAACTTCAGGCCTCACACTCTGCTCTTCTTGGGTCCATCTTTTTTTATTTCAATTGTTATTGTCATAAAAGTTACATAAATCAGGTAATGAGTACATTTATTTTTTTGTGCTGGTCCTGGGGTTTGAACTCACGGCCTGGGCACTGTCCCTGAGCTTCTTTTGCTAAGGCCACTTGAGCCACAGCTCTACTTCTGGCTTTTTCTGTGTATGTGGTGCTGAGGAACTGACCCAGGGCCTCATGCGTGCTAGGCAAGCGCTCTACCACTGAGCCACCTTCCCAGCCCGTTTACCCTTTGTTTCCTCCATTTCTGTGTCCCCCCTTACTCTCTCAAAGATAGATAAACAGGACAAAAAACAAAAACCTCACTCCCATTTCCTGGAGTTCGTTTTGCAAAGTGTTATCTGATTAGAGGCAGCCTAGGCCTTGTGCCCTTGTGACCGTCCCCTACGAGTCCCCTCCTTTGCGCTCACTGTGTGTGAGTGCTTACAGTCTTGTATTGCTCTGCTATTTTTTTTAACTCCCCTTGATAGTGTTTCTAGTGTATTCTAGTTGTGGATGTCTGGGAGCTATAGTGAGAGTTAAACTTTGAAGTAGGTCGGAGTAGGGGTGAGCTATCTTCCTCCAGGTGTGTGGGGCTCAGAGCCCTGAGGAAGGCTGGCACATCTTCACCTGCGCTCCTGCCCTGCCCTGCGGCTACCATGGGGAGTGGGCTGGGCTGGGCTGGGCTGGCCTTCAGTAGTGCAGCCTAGAGCTGCGTGAGCTGAGCGTTCCCCTCGGATCACCATGCCAGTGCCAGGAGCAGAGTCCCTGGGCGTCTGGTTGCTGACGGATGCCAAACCCTCTACTTGCTCACAGGGATCGACTACAAGACGACCACCATATTGCTGGATGGCCGGCGAGTCAAGCTGGAGCTCTGGTGAGTCCGTGGTGAGATGGTGCCGGGGAGCCGCGGGAGGAGACAGGACGGCTTTCTCCTTACTCTGTGTTTGTAGTAGCCATTTGAGCAGACCCTGCTCAAGTAGGAAGTGAGTTTTGCTCCATGACGAAAAGAGCAAAACATATAGGGTGTAAACATCTTTTGATACGGCCTGCTCCTTTTTGCCCCCAGTGCTTGCATGCCCCCCTCCCCTTCTCAGCCTGTTCCTGGGCTTCACATTAAGTAGCGTGGGGGAGGTGGCCTGAGTCTGAAATCTGAGTATTCAGGGTACTGAAGAAGGAGGGGTGAAAATTTGAGTCCAGCCTGGGCTATACAAGGACACCCCGCCTCAGAAAAATGAGGAGAACAAAAAGGAAAAAGAGCTTCAGCCGGGCGCCGGTGGCTCATACCTGTCACCCCAGCTACTCAGGAGGCTGAGATCTGAGGATCGCGGTTCAAAGCCAGCCTGGGCAGGAACATCCATGAAACTCTTTACACAGAAGTGGCGCTGTAGCTCCAGTGGTAGAGCGCTAGCCTTGAGCTGAAGAGCTGAGGGACAGCGCCCAGGCCCAGAGTTCAGGCCCCATGACTGACAAAAAAAAAGAAAAGAGCTTCAAGTGAGGACATGGGTTCTCCACAGTGTCCCTGGCTCCTGGGCCCATGTTTGGGGCTTGCTGCCTGTCTTTGTGGTGGCCTGGTGCTGGCCGGGTGTGGTCCTCGTGGTCAGCACAGCTGTGGCATAACCATCAGTTCCTGCGGTGGCCCGCCTCCCTTGGCCGCCCCAGAGTGTTCAGAGTAGCTAAAAGAAGAGAACAGGACAGAACTGAGCCTCTCATATGTACTCTGGAAGGGTCCCACAGCCATAGTCCCGCCTGACCCTCTCCTCTCCCTGTGTTTCAGGGACACGTCGGGCCAAGGGAGGTTCTGCACCATCTTCAGGTCCTACTCCAGGGGCGCCCAGGTAAGTCGAGCAGCACTCTGTTGTTTTTCTTTTTTTTGGTCCGCTCGTGGGGCCTGAACTCTGGGCCTGGGCGCTGTCCCTCAGCTCTTCAGCTCAAGGCGAGCGCTCTACCACTTGAGCCACAGCGCCACTTCCGGCTTTTTTCTATGTGGTGCTGAGGAATCGAACCCAGGGCCTCAGGCATGCAAGGCAAGCACTCTACCACTGAGCCACCTTCCCAGCCCCACTCTGTTGTTTTTCAAACGGATGCTTCTCTTGACTCTTCCTGAACGTGAGCTCCTGTCTGATCTAATTCTCCAAGTACTTAACTCCTTTCTCTGTAGCTTGCCGTGAGAGCCCCTCCTGGGTGAGAAGACCCATCCTCCGGTGGCCAGCTCTGGGTCTGGGAGCCCTGCCTCCCAGGCAGCCCGTGCGCGGGGACACTGGACTCCACAGTGTACTGCTTCCGCTCCACAGCCCTTGGACAGGCCGTTGCTCTCATGGCTGCTGTGGCCACTAACAATGCCACAAGTGCTGTGCTCTGCCCCTGGTTTGGCTGTGAGCTGTCAGAAATGCAGCTCATCTCTCCGCTTCACTAGGAAGCAAAGGTGGCTTTCCTGCGTCTGCCCAGGACCCTCGTGGGTGGACTTAGGAGCCTGCTGGGGCTGTGACTTTCTTTAGAGAAGGACAGGACTGTATCATATGTCAGCAGAACGGGGTTTTTAGGCCCCAGGCCCAAAGATTGCACATTTGATCTGTCTGCTCACATCCATATGCCAGCTAAAGAGGCGTGTCGTGAAGGCCAGAGAAAGGAGGTTTCGTACATGACAACCATGGTAATACAGCTTCAGTATATCTTCAGCCATCTTCAGAGTTGCAGACATTGGCCTCAGGTTGAATAGGATGAACTGGGTGCTGGAGATTTAAAAAAAAAAAAAAAAAGCACATTAAAACAGTCCTTGTCAAAAGTATGGCTTGGCTGCTCATTATTCTAGCTTTGTCCCTGGAGGTATTCTGGAGGGGTTGTGTTACTTTACCATTGGAACAGATCAGGGACACGTTACTTGATGGGTGGTCTCCTGGGCCTTTGAATGTCTCCTCCTCTTCCTCTTCATTCTCCTTCTACCAGTACTTCTTACCACTCTGTGTCTGACACCAGAGGTGAGGATGAGTTAAGAGAAAACCAGAGGATAAAACCTGGGTGGCCCACAGACCCAGGGCGTGGTGAGGAGCGATAGGACAAAGGGTGAAGCTGGTGCTGGTGGCTCATGCCTGATTAGAACTGAGGATCAAGGTTCAAAGCCGGCCCAAGTAGGAAAGCCCGTAAGACTTTTTTTGGCCGGCAGGTGGGGTGGGGGGTTGGTTGGTTGGTTATAGAGCTTTGAACTCAGGCCCTGAGCTCCTTTGCTCAAGGCTAACGCTCTACCACGTTTTGAGCCACAGCTTCACTTCCAGTTTTCTAGAATAATAATCTGGTTACTAATGGGAGCGTAGAGTAACAAAGCCTTGTACAGCCACCCATTCTACTGCGATGCGTCTCTGCACCCCCTGGTGGTGTGAACTGTCTATACAGGTCACATTTTTGTCACTCTCCTACTGTTCCCCCCCACCCCCCACCCAGTCCTGGGGCTTGAACTCAGGGCCTGGACACTTTCCCTGAGCTGCTTTTGCTCAAGGCTAGCATGCTACCACGAGCCACAGCCCCACTTCCAGTCTAATTTGTTTATATGAACCCAGGGCTTCATGCATGCTAGGCAAGCTCTCTACCACTGAGCCACATTCCCAGCCCTCTCCTACCTTTTTTAAGAACAAACAGGGCTGAGTCCTGTTTTGCTCATACCTGTAATCCTAGCTACTCAGAAAGTTGAGATCGGAGGATCACAGTTCAGAGCCAGCCCAATAAAAAAACTCTTTATCTCCATATAACCCATGAAAGCCAGAGCCAGAAGTGGAGGGAGGCGTGGCTCAAGTGATAGAGCCCAACCTTGAGCAAAAAAGCCAAGCTAGAGTGTGAGGCCTTGATTTTAAGCCTCAGTACCAGTAGTAAATAAATAATCCTAGCTAACTTGGAAGGCTGAGATCTGAGGATCATGGTTCAAAGCCAGCCTGGGCACAAATGTCTGTGAGACTCGAACCTCCAATTAACCACCAAAAAGCTTAAGCAGAGTTGTGGCTCAAGTGGTAGAGCACTAGCCTTGTACACAAAAACTCAGAGACAGTACCTAGGCCCAGAATTCAAGCCCCAGGACCAACATCCAAGAAAAAAAAATGACATAAATGATGGTGGTTCCTGAAGAAACAGCTATTAGCATAAGCTATCACCATAAGCAAGAAAGAAAAACACCTAGGCCTTTCCTGTCTGCTGCTTGTGTAAAATAAACTTCCTGTGCAATGTGTCGTATGTGTTTTTAATTTAAAATGTCACCATGCACGTAATGTGTGGGACCTGTATTTCTCATCTCACAGCTTACTTTGACTCTTTCTATGGTCATCGGCTGCACTTGTAAAGTACACTTTGCTTCTGACGTTGTTCTCTGTGGTACTGTAGATGGAACCAAGGGTCTCATTTATGCTGGGAACATGGTGTGCCTCTAAGCTATAGCCGAAGCTCCTTCTTAACCTTGGTAATCCACACAGGATGTTTACCTGATTCCTGCTGAGGATGGAACCTCTCGCACGCTAGGCAAATGGTCTGACGCTGAGTGTGCTTTGCTCTTACAAACATGCTGGGGTGGACAGAGGATGGATTGGCGCGCCCTCAAGTGTTCCTCAGAAGCCGACTGCTGGGGCTGGGAAGGTGGCTCAGTGGTAGAGCGCTTGCCTTGCATGCCTGAAGCCCTGGGTTCGATTCCTCAGCACCACATAAGCAAAAAGAAAAAAGCCGGAAGTGGCGCTGTGGCTCAAGTGGTAGGGCACTAGCCTTGAGCTGAAGAGCTGAGGGACAGTGCCCAGGCCCAGAGTTCAGACCCCACGACCAGACCGCCCCCAAAATAGAAGCAGATTGCTGTGCAGAGGGTGTGCTCAATGCTTTAGGTGGCACTGTCCCTCACTTCCTTCTCCTGGCAGAAGGAGAGCTTCTGTGTCCAACAGTGGGGCTCATTCCTGGGCGCATAGTCATTTGTTGTAAAGCTTGCCCAGCTCCTGGCACTCAGGTTCAAGTTGGTCAGCTCTTCTTAGAGGATCGGCCTCAGGTAGGGTTCACCACTGGCCTCTCCCAAGTTGCTGTCCGGTAATGAGCCAGGACTGCTGGCCATAGGTCTAGGGTCCAGGTAATTTCAACCTTTTGTTGTGTGTGAGTATTGGTGCTGTCTCTGAGCTTTTGGGCTCAAGGCTAGCACTCTGACAATTGAGCTACAGCTGAGCTTCCAGCTTTTTAGTGGCTACTTAGAGATAAACGTTTCTCAGCTCTTCTGCCCAGACTGTCTTTCTTTTTTTTGGGGGGGGGGTCCAGTCGTGGGGCCTGAACTCTGGGCCTGGCCACTGTCCCTCAGCTCTGCAGCTCAAGGCTAGCGCTCTACCACTTGAGCCACAGCGCCACTTCCAGCTTTTTTCTTATGTGGTGCTGAGGAATCGAACCCAGGGCCTTGAGCATGCAAGGCAAGTGCTCTACCACTGAGCCACCTTCCCAGCCCTGCCCAGACTGTCTTTAATCCGCGCTCCTCAGCTCCCAGCCTCCTGTGTTAGCTAGGATCACAGGTGTGAGCTGCTGGTGCCCTGTTCATTTTGACCTTTGTATTAGCAGGTCCTGGGGGCTGACCTTGGCTGGCTGTGTTTAGGAGACTGGCTTTAAGACTCCTCTTTTCCTGACTGATGTACAGAGGGCCCCCCCCTCCACTCTCAGCTGTGTGGGGATTTGTGGGACCTAGTGTTGCTCACTAGGTGGATTTTGACCCCTCAGCCACCTTTGAAGAAGTAGGCTGAGAGACCACAAACACTGTTGGTGTAACACTGTCTAGTGGCAGTGTTCTCAGTGGGTGTCTGGAGAGCTGTGGCAGTGTGGCTGCTAAGTATCCAGGGCACATGGAGACAGCCCAGAGCGGAGTAATGGGTCTCCAGGGTATGTGGCAGGAAGAACCCCCAGCAGGTCCTGCTCAGCCCAGCTCAGGGAGCCTCACAAAAACTGCTCCTGGAGTGACTTGACACCCTGCAGTACAAGTTTGCGGCCAGAAATCTCAGGGGTGCCTCCCGGGCCGAGTTCACTGACTGACTGTCAGGATACTTGGCTCCTGTCCTCTACCACCTTTCCTGTGCCCCTCACAGCCCTGTAGCCAGACCTGGGTAGGAGTTGCTTAGCTGTGTGGTATTTGACTAATTTCAGAATAATGACTGTGACAGCCTGGAGAATAAAGTTGAAAAGTTGGTTCTGCCCCTACTAAGTCCTCAGGAGAGGAGAGGTGCAGCGTTTGTGGGCTGGAATGGTCCACTCACTCCCCTCCCCTTCCCACTGACCATTGGTAGCAGGTGCATTTCTTACTTGCCTGTAATCCCTTTTTTTTTGGGGGGGGGTCTGGTCGTAGTGCCTGAACTCTGGGCCTGGGCGCTGTCCCTCAGCTCTTCAGCTCAAGGCTAGCACTATACACTGGAGCCACAGCGCCACTTCTGGCTTTTTTCTTTTTATGCTTGTGTGGTGCTGAGGAATTGAACCCAGGGCCTCATGTATACAAGGCAAGCGCTCTACCACTGAGCCACCTTCCCAGCCCCTTGCCTGTAATTTCTTAACCCCTGGGGTCTGCTGGGCCAGGTTCCCTGCCCTGTCCATGAACAGAGGTCTGTTGTGTCTAGCAAGTTCCCCCCAAGGACCCTGCTGTGGGTGACCTCTGTGCCTCTCGCTCCTCAGGGGATCCTCCTGGTGTACGACATCACTAACCGATGGTCCTTTGATGGGATTGACCGGTGGATCAAGGAGATTGATGAGGTAGGTGTGGGTCTGGGCCCTCCACGGGAAGGCACGAGGCCCAGCCATGCTTGGCAACCCGGCATAGGCCTGCCTGTGCCCCTTCAGCAGTGTGTGAGGCTCAGACTGCCCTCCCCGAGTCTGTCCCATCCTGGGATGCTCAGAGAGGACCCTACCTACTGTTGGGGGCGGGGTGGGGGCGCTGGGTTATCCCTGCTGAGTTCTGCACCCCGCCCCAAGCACGCACCTGGGGTCCCCCGGATCCTGGTCGGGAACCGACTGCACCTGGCCTTCAAGCGTCAAGTCCCAACAGAGCAGGCCCGTGCCTATGCCGAGAAGAACTGCATGACCTTCTTCGAAGTCAGCCCCCTGTGCAACTTCAACGTCATCGAGTCCTTCACGGAACTCTCCCGCATTGTGCTCATGAGGCATGGCATGGAGAAGATCTGGAGGCCCAATCGAGGTGAGTCTGGGTTCACCTTGTGCAGAGGGGCAGAGCTCTGAGCTCTGTGGGACAAACGTGGAGACCGGAGGGATGTTGGGGATAATGGAAGCAGAACGGCTCCTGGAAAGCAGCAGGCACTGTGGGCCGTGCCAAGCCCTAAGCCGTAAGGGGTGAGCTCTCTCCACGGTGCAGGGAGAGCCCAAGCTCCACACGCATACGTTCCTCCTTGTTCCAAAGACAGGGTTTTAGGCTGGGTGGTCACAGAAGCCCCTACGTGACATCGTACCGTATCCTATGCAGGTTCTTAATCGAAAATGTGCTTTTGACCTTGTGGTTCTACCTAGTACCAGTGCACGTGCACATGCGCATGTGTGCAATACACACATGCATACACAAAGAGCTGAGTGGCGGTGGCTCACCTACCCACACAGGGGACTGAGATCTGAGGGTCGAGGCTCAAAGCTGTCCCCAATTAACCACCAAAAAGCCACAAAGTGGAGTTATGGCTCAACTGGTGGTAGAGTGTCAGCGGAAAAAGTTCAGTGACAGCACCTAGGTCCTGAGTCCAAGCCCCAGCACCGGCACGTGTGTGCACATACGCACACACGAAAAACAAAGTGTTGTAAGCCCCTCCTCGGGAGCCCTGGCCTGCCACGTCCACAAGGGCTCATGCTACACTCTGCAGACCACCCACAGCCAGCCAGCGACTGCTGGCTGGACTGAGGTAAACGACTGCAGACATGACTCCAAAAGCTCATGAGCCACCTCCTCCCCGAGTCTTCTGCGGGTAGTCTCCCAGCAGCACTTTGCAGTGTGCTCCCCTCTAGGAAGAAGGCAGGGGAAGGGAGCCACCCCCGGACCCTCCCAGGAGGTGGAATAGCTGGGCATCCAGGTCCCCTGGGAGCCCCATCCGGGGCATCTGAGAGTTCTCTTTTGGTAGTCAGAGGGCTGTACACCCCTGAGCATCTCTGCTCGGGCCTCTCGGCCCCACGCCCCCTTCAGCCGTCTAACCCCCCCCGCCCGCCCCCGCACAGTTTTCAGCCTGCAAGACCTCTGCTGCCGTGCCATCGTCTCCTGCACCCCCGTCCACCTCATTGACAAGCTTCCGCTGCCAGTCACCATCAAGAGCCACCTCAAGTCCTTCTCGATGGCCAACGGCATGAACGCCGTCATGATGCACGGCCGCTCCTACTCCCTGGCCAGCGGGGCTGGGGGCAGCGCCAGCAAAGGCAACAGCCTCAAGAGGTCCAAGTCCACCCGCCCCCCTCAGAGCCCGCCTCAGAACTGCTCTCGCAGCAACTGCAAGATCTCCTAGCGGGACTGGTGGGCACCGCCCGTGCAGACTCTGGGAGCTCGTGCTGGGGCACTCCCGGTCGAGTGCTGGAAGGCTTGGCCACACAGCCCTGCCCAGGAAGCACCAGGCTTCCCACACCTGTGTCAGGTGAAAGGGGCGGTCCCATGGGAGATGACACCCCCCTCCCCCCCCCACACACACCCTGGGCAGAGGGGCCGCTGGTGCTACAGGGGCCCAGGTCTGAACTAGCCCGGATTCCAGGGCTACCTGGGCTCCGGCTGGGAGGAAGCCTGGCTCCCCCATTTATATGGAGAACGTTTCAGCGTTTTGTACATTTTTACAGACCTGTCAGGGAAGCCTGGGCGCAGCCGTGAGGGGGCTTGCGCTTGCACAGCCACGCCAGCTGTGGGGCTCGGGGCTGGGAGCAGTGAAGGAGGGGGTCAGCACCAAAGCTGGATGTTCTTTGGACTGGCATGCACCTCTCCTGGGGTGCTCAGAGGCCCTCTGGAAATAGAAGGGCCAGACACTGGTGGCCGAGACTCAGCTCAGCTTCCATGTCTGACCCAGGTGGCAAGTGTGCTGGGCCCAGGGAAGATGGATCCCCTGCAGCCCTCTCTGGATGATGTCACCCCCATACACCAGAGCTCCAGCAACTCCCAGGAGAGTGAGGGCGAGGGTGTGCCCTGGAGCCTCACTTCCGCCCCTTTCTGGTGCGCCCTTCTCCCCGATGCTTCCGGTGGTGTTTACTATATACAGACTAGCCCAGCACCTCCAGACTGAGCATGCAGAGCCATCTGCAGACCTTAAGTACTTGGTGGGCCGCAGCCTCAGCCACCCTGTGGGCCGCAGGGTTCCATCCCGAGTCCCTCCTCAGGGACCACCAGCCCAGCCCTGAGCTGGAGCTCACAGGGCCCGCCTGTGCCCGTCTTGAAGCCATGTACCGATCCTCCACAGGTCCCCATCTGCCTGGGGCAGCCCCCCCTCAGTGGGAATGTCACCCCTGACTTCACCCTGGCCTGGTAATGCAGCCCTTGGTCACACTGGTGCTCAACTCTACCTCCTGCCCTTGGGCCCCCCCCGCCACAGCAGGAGCCACAACCCAATTAGGGACTTCTCAGTGCAGATTTCCAGCAGTGGGCCCGCCATGAGTGCTAGCAGGGCACCCGGGTCTGTGGTGCTGGGAGATGAGTCAAGCCCCCACTGGAGGAAAGGCCGTGGGGACTGCCTGGCGAGCCCAGATGGCCTCCAAGCCCCCAGCATTGAGACTGCCCCGCACCTGTCCTGTTGCTGCCAGTAGAGCCCTTTTCTCTGGAATCATGAACAGAATCACTGAGACTTTGTTCTGAGGACCTGGACAGGCATGCCTGCGCATCAACACTACTTCCGCCGCTGTGGACTTGATTCCTGGACTCTTTGTACAGTAAATGTACTTCAGCTGTGACCTCTCTGGTTTGTATAAATCAGCCTCAGACTTCACCTGTCTGTGATGTGTTGTGTGGAGGTGGCGGTGGTGGTGGGGTAGCTTGTGGCGTACTCCGTCCGCCACAGGAGCCACACCGCTTCGTTCCTGCTAGACTGCTCCCCAGGTCCTGCGGACTCAGTCCTGTGGCTGGCTTTGCCGGCCGGCAGCTGGATTCTCATCGCTACCGAGGACCAAAGGGGCTGAGGTGGAGACTAGTCAGGAGCCACATGGCCTTTCTTAGGGTGTGGGCCTGGTTAGGCCAGGCCAGCCGCCCACCTCCCCATTCTGAGCAACTGTCACAGCCTGTCACAGACCCCTGTGAGCGAGCCCTGGGGTTGGCACCTAGAGCAGGAAAGCATTTGGAGGGGTGCGGGGGCTCTGTACGGCTCGGCTAAGGTGTGTATGGTGCTCAGAGGTCAGAGCTGAGTGAGGGACCTGCAGCTCGCACCCCAGGAACACAACGCGGGGCCTCCTGGCTCTCCGCTGCAGTGCACACTGCCCAAGCACCCCACCCTTCCATTCACCCACAGCCCCTTAAAAGGCGGGAGGCACTGGTGCCTGGAGGCCAGAGCTCGGGTCCACTCCGGCCAGACCAGGCTCTTATTACCTCAAGAGGTCAGCGGAAGGGTCATTCAGACATTTTCCATCCTGTTTCAGAGAAAAACACCCCCCTGGGACTGCAGAAGGCACAGAATGGTTTGGAAGGGCAGATTCCAGCCGGCCCTTTGTGCTGCCCCCAGCTTTGATCATTTGAGCTCTGCTGAGAGCTGTGCTCCCGCCCGCTCTGCCCTCCCCCCAGGGGGTGGTCTCTGGTCCAGCTGGAGATGGGCCGAGGAAGACAGGGAAAGACTCCTGTTCCCAAGAATTGTAGGGCGCGTGCTCCTTTGCGAACGCGCCCGGGCATCTGGCTTGGCCATCTCCTGGGACCTTCACGCCTGCCACGTCTGAGTGCTGGGCAGCATGGCAGATGAGCCATCTGTGCGTGTGGTCAGTCTCGTCTGTCTCTGTCCTGGGGCTCAAACTCGGTCTGGCCGCTATCCCTAGCTTTTGTGCTCAAGGCTAGTGCACTACCACTTAAGCCACAACTAGCTTGCAGGATTTGGGTGTTTTTTTTGAGGGGGAGGTAATTGGCAATAAGAGACTTGCCTGCTCAGGCTGGCTTCAAACTACAATACTCAGATCTCCTGAATAGCTAGGATTACAGGCATGAGCCACCAGCACCCGACCCCTTGCTGAACCGTCTTTTTCTACCCTAGAATGGCCCTAAGCTTCTTAATTTGGCAGGGGGGGGGGGAAGCACAGGCCAGTGGTCACTTGGGACTGTTTTGGGTGCCTGTCCACCACACTGGGTAAGATCCTAGCAGAGATCAGCCACTGTGGCCTCCTCCCTTTGTGGAGGAGACTTTGATCTTTGCCTGGCTCCGGCTTGTGGAGGGAGGGGCTCGAGTTACAGCATTTCCACCCCCCCTCCCCTGGCCAGAGCTGGCCCTTCCCCGCCCCTTGGTGACCCTTGTGGCCAGTAGCTCTGAGCTTCAGGGCCTCTGGCCCCTCCCCAGCCCTCCTTTCTCTCCCCCTGGTGCTGCCCAAGGCTCGGAAGCCACCCCACCCCCAGTGGCTGCGAGAGGGGCCAGGCTGAGGAGAGTGGAAAGACAGGCTCTGAGAGCTCTTGGCCCTAGATCCTGCCATTTGAGGGTGCAAGGAGGGAGCATCTGCTATAAACCCCAGACTTGGGGAGGGGAGGGGAGGGCTAAAGCAGGAACTGAGCCATCCGAGGAAAGGGAGGACCATCCAAGGCCGGCCGGCCGGGGCACCCGTCCAAGACCTGAGGGTGGATGCCTGCAGGGAGTCCCAGGTCTGTGGGGTCTGAGGGGCCAGCAGCCATATCCCCCGACCCCCTGCCCCGGGGTCCCCATGCCCTCCCCGCAGCTGCTCCTGCCTCTGCTGCTCATCACCGGCATCACCGGGCCCGCCTTGGTGGCCGGGCGGCTGCCAGAGCCTGGGAGCCACCCTGGTGTGTGCCCCAACCAGCTCAGCCCCCACCTGTGGGTAGACGCCCAGAGCACCTGTGAGCGCCAGTGCACCGGGGACCAGGTGAGCACGGGGCCTCAAGCCCAGCCCTTCCCTGGCGGGGGGCCCTTCCCAGGGGCCACTCCCTCCAGGTCTCGCCCTACCTCTATATGCCCCGTATGAAGGGTACAGGGGACACCACCGCCACCTATCTGAAGGACAGGCATTCCTTCATTCTCCTGGGTTTCCTCATCTCACCAAACCTCCCCTCCCCTGCCTGGACATGGCTCACTCCCACCAAACCTCCCCTCCCCTGCCTGGACATGGCTCACTCCCACCAAACCTCCCCTCCCCTGCCTGGACATGGCTCACTCTCACCAAACCTCCCCTCCCCTGCCTGGACATGGCTCACTCCCACCAAACCTCCCCTCCCCTGCCTGAGGCCACTCACTCTCAGAGGATGAGTGACCGCCAGCCCTTGGCCCGCCCCTGTACATGGCGCCCAGGCCGCCCCTGAGCCACGCCCCGGCTCCCACGGGGACAGCACACTCCTGGAGGAAGGCGTGTGGACACTGTAATGGCGGTGTGGCCAAGGCCTGCATCCAGATGTCCTGCCTGTGTGCCTTGGACACGATGCGTCCTGCGGGGTGACCAGGGTGCTTGGATGTGAGGATTTGACCAGGTGAATAGGGGTGGTCTCGAAGCTCCTACCGAGCAGGAAGCCGTGCTTCCAGGCCCGGCAAGAGGCAGCAGCAGGTTGCAGCCATGAGACAGGGTCTTCCCTCCTCTGTGCACCTGGGGAAGGGGCATGGCCAGGCCTGGGGGGGGAGGGGGACACGTGTGTGTGTGTGTGTGTGTGTGTGCTGGGAGGTGGCGGGGCATGGTGGTGTGTGTGTGTGTGTGTGTGTGCTGGGAGGTGGCGGGGCATGGTGGGGTGTGTGTGTGCTGGGAGGTGGCGGGGCATGGCGGAAGGTGTGTGTGTGTGTGTGTGCTGGGAGGTGGCGGGGCATGGCGGAAGGTGTGTGTGTGTGTGTGCGCACACGCACGCTGGGCAGTGGTGAAGGGGCAGGGCCAGGCCCCAGGCAGTGCTGGGAGTCAGGATGTCTGCTGAGCTGTCTGCGTCCCCCCAGGACTGTGTGGCCTCTGAGAAGTGCTGTACCAATGTGTGTGGGCTGCAGAGCTGCGTGGCCGCCCGCTTCCCTGACGGTGGCCTCCTGGCATCGGCGGCGGCGGCGGCCTCCTGCGAGGGCTTCCAGTGCCCGCAGCAGGGTGCTGACTGCGACATCTGGGGTGGGCAGCCTGTGTGCCGCTGCCGAGACCGCTGCGAGAAGGACCCCAGCTTCACCTGCGCCTCGGACGGCCTCACCTACTACAACCGCTGCTACATGGACGCCGAGGCCTGCCTCCACGGGCTCCGCCTGCACGTGGTGCCCTGCAAGCATGTCCTCAGCTGGCCGCCCAGCAGCCCCGGGCCGCCTGAGACCACCGCCCGCCCAACTCCTGAGGCCACCCTGATGCCACCTGCCCTGTACAGCAGTCCTTTACCGCAGGTGGTGCACGTGGGAGGCACGGCCAGCCTCCTCTGTGATGTCAGCGGCCAGCCACCGCCCACGGTGACCTGGGAGAAGCAGAGCCACCAGCGGGAGAACCTCATCATGCACCCCGACCAGATGTACGGCAACGTCGTGGTCACCAGCATCGGGCAGCTGGTACTCTACAACGCCCGGCCGGAGGATGCCGGCCTGTATACCTGCACCGCACGCAACGCGGCCGGGCTGCTGCGTGCCGACTTTCCCCTCTCTGTGGTGCAGCGTGCGCTGGCCAGGGACCGGGCTCCGGGAGTTCCAGCCCCGGCCCAGTGCCTGCCCGACACGCAGGCCTGCGCCAGCCTCTCCGCGCCCCACCGCGTCCTCTGGCACTTTGACCCTCCGAGGGGCAGCTGCATGACCTTCCCGGTCCTCGAATGCGACGGAGCCATGCAGGGCTTTGAGACGTATGAGGCCTGCCAGCAGGCCTGTGCCCGCAGCCCCGGAGACACCTGCCTGCTGCCCGCCGTGCAGGGGCCGTGCCAGGGCTGGGAACCACGCTGGGCCTACAGTCCACTGCTGCAGCAGTGTCACCCCTTCATGTATAGTGGGTGTGAGGGCAACAGCAACAACTTCGAGAGCCGGGAGAGCTGTGAGGAGGCCTGCCCGGTGCCGCGCAGGCCGCCTTGCAGGGCCTGTCGCCTCCAGAGCAAGCTGGCTCTGAGCCTGTGCCGCAGTGACTTTGCCATCGTGGGGCGGCTCACGGAGGTGCTGGAGGAGCCTGAGGCCGCAGGGGGCGTCGCCCGCGTGGCCCTCGACGATGTGCTCAAGGATGACAAGATGGGTCTCAAGTTCCTGGGCACCAGGTACCTGGAGGTGACCCTGAATGGTATGGACTGGTCCTGCCCCTGTCCCAATGTGACCGTGGGTGATGGGCCGCTGGTTATTATGGGTGAGGTGCGTGATGGTGTGGCTGTCCTGGATGCTGGCAGCTATGTCCGTGCTGCCAGTGAGAAGCGTATCAAGAAGATCATGGAGCTGCTGGAGAAGAGGACCTGTGATCTGCTCAATCGCTTCCAAGACTAGCCTTGCTTGCCAGCCTTACTCTCTTCCTTCTGAATAAAAACCTGCCCCTCACTGGTGGAACTCAAGGTCTGCTGGTGCTCTTCCATATGCCTCCACGCCTAGCCAGCTCGGGTCTGGTTGTCAGTTGGAGCTTTGGCTCCTGTCTGAGGTCACAAGATCCACAGCAGTCTCTCCAGGGACACAGATAGGGACCAAATCCATTCTGCCTCAGTAACTATCCCTGGGTTGTTCCTGCCCCAGGGACAAAGCCGGGACACTTGCAAGCCCTGACTGCACAGGCCACGCCCTCCCGTCCATCCACTCCCGTAAGGGGTGCCTGGAGACAGTGTGTGGTAGATGTCTACCGTTGGTCAACAGGAAATGCTTTATTCAAGGCCTACTGGGCCCAGGATCTTGGCAGCCCTAGGGCCACTGGCCAAGAGCCAGGTTACATGAGGCTGGTTATTCCCAAGGCCTGGCCCAGGGGGGCAAAGCCTGGGGTCTAGTCTATGCCCCACGGAGCCTTTAGCAGAGCTGCGGGATGAAGGAGAGGGTTACTCTTTCCGGAAAATCAGGCACTTGTTGTTGGCTGGCATGTCCACCTGAAGGAATGCTTTGCTGGAGTGGCCCTTGGTCCAGGGAGGATGCCGCCCCACCCCCAGTCCACCCTGCCTACCATCTTCTCCAGAAGCAGGCCATTAGCCTGGCCTAGCTCTTCCAAGACAGCTGTGTCCCGCAGCCCCCACTCGGGGTTCCTGCGGGGCGAGTGGGAAGGGGGTGCTTAGAAGCAAGGGGGTTGGGTGGGCACCCCCCCTCCCCTCTGAGCAGGCCCCTCCCGCCGGCCTCACCTGCTTCTGAGGGCCTGGTCAAAGTCCACATTGCTCTGGGGAAAGATCTGGCCGTTGACTGCAAAGGGCTGTGGGGCGGTGAGCGGTGAGCGCGGCCGTGGGTCCCACGTCCTGGGACCATTCCCCAGTGGGCCATGGGGCCAATTTCCAGGCTGGGTTTCTAGGAAGGGAAAGGTCACCCCCTCCCTGCCCCCAAGAAGGGGGAAGGCAAGGGCCGGCCGAGGGCCTGCGGGGCAGAGGGACCCGTTAGTGCGGAGCCTGCCTGGGCCCGAGTTGCGGGATAACTCACCCCATAGGCGATGAGCAGGGCACTGGGTTTGAGCAGGTGTCCAGCGGCTCTGAAAAGGCCC